CTAAACATCTCTTAGACACTGGACACAGCCTAGCCAATGACCACTCCTATAAAGTCTTACATACTTGTAATAAAGGGCTACAACTGTGTGTGCTGGAACAGTTAGAGATATTAAAAAATAATAACGGTAATGTTGCACTGCTGAATGAACAAACAAATGTTTCCAACTCGCCTCTCTTACCCCCCATCAACATGATAGCGGAATTAAATCATAGACTACCCCAGGAGGGTACCATCACCCCTATAGAATACCTCGCTGAGCATCCACGACCATGCTACTCCTGAGCGTGGATGCTCAGGTTTCCCCGCGTATTCTGGGGGGGGGGGGGGGCAAAATTCAACCAAACAACAAGACCAAGGCGACCCCAGCCTCGCTATCCGTAAATTTCTGCAACATCAGGGGACTTCACTCAAATCTAAACGCCGTCCACTACCATCTCGAGACGGCGAAGCCCACCTTGCTCTTTCTGACCGAGACGCATGTGTCTTCTCCGGCTGATACTTCGTATCTCTCCCACCCGGGGTACAAATTGGAGCACTCCTTTGTACCTCGAGCTGGAGTTTGCGTATACGTCAAAGAGGACATCTGTTCTCGACGCCTCGGCAGTCTCGAAGGTTCGGACCTGTCCATCCTTTGGCTACGCGTAGATAGCGACGACCATCCGCGCGTCTACGGCTGCCTCTATAGGTCCCATAGCGGTAATGCCGAAACAGACCGACTCATCGACCATGTCCAAATGGCTACAGATTCCTTGCTACAACAGTTTATTTGAAATATTAACCACGATTATATTCTAAAAAATTACAAAATGTCTAGTAGCTTTTTTCTTGCGTGCCGACTTGTGCTGACCTATCATTCAAAATGGGTTAGTAAGATTTGCTATCCTTTTCTATCTTGCTTTTTTGCCATAAGGAATTTTCTTCTCCCTTGCACACTATTTTGGTCTAAATATTCTAAGTCTATGGTAGAACCAAAGTAAACCGGCATAGCTCAATTGCTTAGCTGAAGTGACAATGGATGCAGGTGGCTTAGGACCGTGCTATGTGGCATTCCTTGGGGGAGGTTTATGATGAGCAGTGGACTTGTAAAGGGCTGTAATGATGATGATGATGAGTATAGTCATCGCTTTAGATTTAATATTTAGTTATTATCGGTTCAGAATACTTCATTTACGGCTGTAGGCATTTCCTCGTGATTGTGTATATAAAGATTTTTTTCTGAGATGTTGACTCTTTATGAACATGGACGTATGAATAAGGCGGACAGAATTTTGTTAAGAAAGGAATGATGCACTGTAATGGCGGCGGTGCAAGTATGTTTACATGTTATATAGGGTTGTCATGTGAAACAAAATTTCCCCATTTTTTTTAATAAAACAATCTGTCAAAATATAACTTTGATGAAATACCAATTTATTATTACGTAACTAATATAAATAACACATTTGACGATTAAAAAAAAATCTACGAATTCAAGATTTAGATTTTGATTGAAATCGAATAATTCTATTTTAATCAATTTCGATTTAAATTAATTTTTTACAAACAAAATTGTATCATATTATTAAAACGAAATATATAACAAATAAACATATTATAGGTAACCAAAAATTAATATAAAACTAATTTACAATATATTATTTTAGAATTAGTATGAAAACATTTAAAAACAGCATGGTAGCGATCACCTCATTCTCAGGGGTTATTATATCAATCATGTACTATTTAGTAGTATACCCTAATAATCCTTACTAAACAATTTTTACTTGGTAAAAATTTTAAACTTTGATATATAAGGCCAGCATATTTTCTGGGACTTTGTTGTGAAAGCGTATATATGAAGAATTTACTGACTCTTTTGAGTCGGTTAACTGGTATAACTAACTTGTGCTTTTCCCTAGTATTTGCAGAATGTACATCACTAAATACAAATACATCCATTAAATTTTTGTAAATATACTGAGAGGCCAAAGTTAATATATTTATTTGTTAAAATTTTCTGCAAGTGTAAATTATAGTTATTATTTATAACAATAAGTCATAAATAATTAACATAATTTACTAATTTTCATAAAAAACAACAATGTTAAAACATTTTTGTTGAATAATTTTTAATAAATTTTAATAAGACTTATCTTGTGCTCTATCCCTGCGAATGTGTCCTTAAATTCCAAACTTACAAAAACCCTGTCATTGGCAATAAACTTTTCTAATATTTTGTAAGTATATACTTTTGTTGCCTTTCATTGTACATTGTAATGTTTTCCTTAATAATCTTTCGTACAACCATTTCGCAAGTACAACAAATATTAAATAAAAGTTAGATGGAAAACGTAAACCTCCTAAATTTATTTATTATTTTTCTAATTTATTTATTTATGAAAGAAATGCCTTTCTACAGTATACAAACGCGCGGTGCATTTTTGGCACATTTTTTTTGTTGCATAATAGGCAATGCTAACCGCCAGATATCCTTATCCTTAACTTACGATTGTCATTATGTGATTCTACCGCTAGACGCTTAGCTAGCTTATCATCTTCTTCAGTAATTTCATTTAAAAATGATAATGAATCACAAATACTATCATCATCTTCTTCGTGACGGTATGATGGTGTGGTGGAATTGATTATTTGAGTAGCCAAAGTACAATTAAGCACAGCAATTTGTTCCAAAGGAACACAATTTCCTATAGTTAAGCACTTAAAATCTAGATGTGCCAGCAGTTTTCTGTAGCAACTTTTGAACTGTCTGACATTAGGGTCGTCATTAAAGCCACCTTGCATTCGAATACAAGAAAAAAATATTTCTAAATGATCCTGACTTAGTTTGCAGGTTGGCAGGTACATTCTTTTTTCTTTGATTATGAATATATTTTTCATATAAATATTTTAAGCTTTCTATATTTAATAAAGTGCCAAGAAAGCTGTTTTGCACTTAGCTCTTATTAAATATATATGATCCAAAAAATGTTACCCTCCCATCTCGCTTTACTTTTCTTTTGCTGGAATAATTCATTTCTAATTTTGATATGTATTTTTGATTCAATATGTGATTTATATACTAAGTTAAACAAGGCACCACATTTAAGAACCTTCTTTACCGTGTTATAATTAGTCCAATTTCCAGGAAATAGTAACATAGTAAAAAATAAAAATCACGATTACAGCACAACATAACGAACTATGGCCAGAAAATGCATATAACCGCAATATAATCGATCGGTAATTTTCCCTATAAATAATTAACAACACTGATCACATGACTCATGTTTTGTGTTCCATAAATAGCATTTTAATTTAAGACATAATATTGTCAAATAAGTGATAATAATTCCTGACACACCTATGAAATGTGATTCCTTTAAGGTTTTTGATAAAACCACTATGATTTTTACAAAATTTAACGACGCAAAACGGCATATTGATTTTTGTTTTTACTTACGACAACTACTCGCGGACGACGTTTGTTGCGTAATGGCGGGCGCTAGACTTATTATTAGTGTAGTAGTATAATGTGTGCGTAAAGCCTTGTACGTACAAGCGAGCTGACTTATTATGGGTGCCTCGGTGAGTTGTATAGTGAGATTCAGTCCACCTTATTTATACGTCCATGTGTATGAAATACTGACTATTAATTAATTCATTATTTTAAAATTTTTAGGACGATATGTCATCAGAAAGTATATAAGTTAAGTTTAATGTGTAAAGAAAAAGCATAAAGATTAAACACAAGTACATACCTTTTCATCTTTATTCCACGAATTTCAGCAGCCGAAAAATCCTGATTCTTCATGAAATATTGTGCCACCATCAAACTATCCACTCTTGGCGGATTGTTCGACTGTCCTTTTACAAAATCTTCCATTCTAGCACTACACGTTTCAATTCAGTGTAATCGTATTTATAGGATAATATTATTTCTTTGAAATATAAGTAATAAAAATAATATACAAATACTATAAGTAATAGTATTTGTATATTATTTTACTACACGTTTTACTTTAGTGTAATCGGATATATAGGATAATATAGAAATATAAAGACGATCGAAAGAAAATGAAACGAGACCCGCGTAATTTGGCCAAGCCGCACCGGACCGAGCGCCGCGTTTGTATTGTGTTGCGGTCGCGGTCTGCGGGGGTGTGACGTCATCGTGGGAGCGCGCGTAATCTCTGAAATTCAAAAAAGGGCTTAAACTTCTTGTCGTTATAACTTCGGAAATACTGCATGTATTGAAGTGAAATAAAGACTAATGTAATGTACATGATCTTTGCTACGATTTTAATAGTATTTGGTAGTAATAATTTGACCCCTTTGTGTGTGACGAAAATTATGGAACCGGAAAAGCATGTATGACATGCATGTATACATGCATGTCAAGCACAAGGTTGCGGGTTCAAACCTGGCTTATACGGTCAAACGCACTTTGCGCTAATAGTTAAATCTTGAAAACGACGAGTAAGGGCATCACTGCTGAACATAGGCCTCCCCCAAAGAATGCCACAAAGCACGGTCCTGAGCCACCTGCATCCATCGACTTCCTGCATATCTTACCAGGTCGTCACTCCATCTAGTGGGGGGACGCCCTACACTTCGCCTGCCGGTACGAGGCTGCCACTCGAGACCTTTCTTCCCCATCGGTTGTCGGTTCTTCGAGCTATATGGCCGGCCCATTGCCACTTCAGCTTACTAATCCGTTGGGCTATGTCGGTCACTCTAGTTCTACTGCGGATATCCTCATTTCTGAGTTTATCACGCAGAGAAACTCCGAGCATAGCCCTCTCCATAGCTCGCTGAGCGACCTTGAGCTTCCTCAGCCGGCCAGCAGTGAAGGACCATATATATAAATATACATATATATATATATATATATATATATATATATATATATATATATATATATATATATATTTATTTAGGTGTCATAATGTACTCTATGAAATTATTCATACGTCATTTGAAATAATCAGGATAAATTAATTAAGACAGGGTAATACAAAATTACTTTATATAACTATGATCAATAAGGTGTAACATATCTTCTTCAATGTTACTTGAATGATCACTGTCACTATCGCTTTCGTCACTATCACTGCCAACCCACAATAAAAAGCGATCACTTCCTTCATCCATTATTTTATCTTTGATTATGTACTCATCTTCAATTTTTATAACATATGACCACTCTTTAACGTAAGCGACGTTACTAAAATATAAATAATATACTTACTTACTTACATACAAATATTTTAGTATCATCTAGGGAAATAGATAAACATATTTAAAATATGACCCACTACCATGCGGTACTGTAAAGGTTAGTCTAAATCATTGTCACTGGTCACCCTATAAACATACCGGTCATGGCGGCAACTCTTGCACGAACTTGTTGCAATGGAAGAATCAGCTTGTTTTCAGCCTTTTCTTTTTCACAAAATGCGTAAGCTTGAAGAATAGTTTGCCTTTTAGCACTTTTTACCACTTTCGGCATTTTTAAAACTAAGATTAAATTATTAAAAAGCAAAAGAGCACACAGATAGCAACCGATCAAACTAAAAGAAAGATGGCGACTGAGTACATTAGGTACAGTACTACCAACCACTTATAATATACTTTTCCACAATATAGTACAGTATTGTGGAAAACAATTTTTTTTATAGGAGAAGGGGCAAACGAGCATGCGGCTCACCTGATGGTAAGTGACTACCGCCGCCCATGAACAACCGTAACACCAGGGGAACCAGGGGAATCGCAGATGCGTTGCCGGCCTTTTAAAAAGGAGTAGGCTCTTTTCTTGAAGGTCCCTAAGTCGTATCGGTCCGGAAAAATCGCTGGTGGTAATCGACTCCACAAGGAAGTTGTGCGAGGAAGAAAACTTCTAAATCGTACAGTGGTGGACCGCCAATCATCCAGATGGTGTGGATGGTATCGGGAGTTCTGCCGCGATGTACGTTCGTGAAATTTGGCGGCTGGGATTAATCCGAACAATTGCTCAGAGCACTCCCCGTGGTAAATGCGAAAGAAAATGCAAAGAGATGCAACATCTCTTCGCAGCGCCAATGAATCGAGCCGATCGGAAAGGACTCGTTCGTCGACGATTCGAGCCGCTCTGCGCTGGATGCGGTCAAGTGGAAGTAGCTGGCACTGGGGAGCCCCAGCCCAGAGAGTAGTAGAGAACCGTATTCCATGTGTGGCCGAAACTGCGCCTTGTAAAGTTGCAGGCGTTGTGCCGGCATGAAATACTGTCCCGCTCTGCTGAGCACGTCAAGCTTTTTAGAGGCCAATTTGGTCTTCTCTTCCAAGTGACAACGAAACTGCACGTCACTCGATATGTCGACGCCGAGGATTCCGATACTGGCTGAAGCAACAAGGGGAGTGTTTGCGCCAAACACTAAAATTTAAAATTACTATAACGCAGGCGCGTTAGCGCGCTTCGTCGATGTACTTAGCCCGGCGGGCACGCGGCGAGCAGGCGCCTTCCCGCCCGCGCTGAGCGCAGGGGAGATCCGGTATTTTGTCGTCAAGCGGCGACACGAACGCGCGGTTACCTAATAGTGTCAATTTTGTTAGCAAATTTGTGCAACGAAGAGGAATTGTAGTCTAGAATATTAGAAGCTGGATTGACTAATTGTTGGGAAGTTAACGTTTAATTGTACTGTTGCGTTAAGTGCCTTAAAGGGTCGCGTTCGGTTTTCGAAATCATTTGTAGCGACGTGAACTTTGACCCACCGTTCCTCGGTCTTACCGCTTGTTAAGTCTTTTGATTATAATTCACGGGATTTAGTTTTCCTTTGAAGTTAGTTAAATGTACAATAAAGTGGATACTGACATAGTGAATTGAAGAAAGAAATTCTCCCTTGCTGCCGCCGCTAGAGAATTTCAAGCTTGGAGACGGTGCCGGAGTCAGGGTGGCTGCTAATTAAAAAGTGCTAATTCGGGTTAAACACACATACACTTCTCATACACTACTCACATTCACGACAATTACGCCCGAACGAGCCCTGGGAGCCTTCTTCGCTTCTGAAGCAGGTAAGTCAAGTAAATTAAGTACCTAATCTATATATATCAATTATCCATAGGCCATTCGGGCCCGAACCCTCGGTTGCCCGTCGAAGGTGTTACTCATGGGCCCTAATACAGTCGACTTCTGTCTGGGCAACTGAGAACCGTAACATTTTCTGTTAGCAAGAGCGTGGTTGATTGATTTCCAATCACGCCCGGCCGTGATATTAATAAAAATATAATATATTAATAAAAAATAGTAGGTAATAAATACGTACGTACGTAATATAATACGTACGTAATACGAGTACGTAGTACGTACGTAATATATTTTGTTTGTTGGCGGGTGGAAGAAACAACCACGCCCGTAGTATTGTTAAGGCTAGGTACTTACGCGTAAGGTACTTTGACTAGGTAGATAAGGCTATCACGTAATCGGATAATTATCGTTGGCGTATAATTATAGTAGATTAATTGTCGAAGGGTCGGTTGTCCGAGCGAGGCATTTTTTGCTGATTGACTGTAGTGTAATTTGTATTTAATTTAATAAATAGTAATTGTATTTGTGTAATTCGTATTTAACTTGATTTGATCATACTTGTATTTGTTATTTATTAATTTAATTTATGTTTAAGCCACGTATTAGTTTGTATTTAGTAGTGATGCCATCGCACAAGCTACTGATTCGTTGCCTGAGGGCGGAGCTGCGCTGGGCTACCGGCGCCCATGCTTTGATAGGTCGTCCTGATAGGGTTTATAACATGAGGAAGCGGCTCGAGCAGGTCGATGCTCGAAGGGCCGCAGTGGAGGAGGCTTACGCTGAGCTCGAGGACTCGGAAGTGGAAGAGGGAGTCCTGACTCCTGCCACACGGACTACGAGCAGTTCCTTTCGCTCACGGACGAGTTGATCGAGGCGGGGGCCAAGGATGCGGAGGAAGCGCGTGATGCTCAGCTGAGTGGCCGGCTCGAGTCGCCTCGGAAGCAGCCTTCTCAGCCAGAGCTGTTAGGACGACTCCCGACTCTGGACCTGCCAAGGTTGTCCGGGGTCCTCTCCGAATGGCTGACTTTCGTCGGTCTGTTTGACAGCCTAGTGGACGCCTGGAGGGACTTGACACCTCCTAGCCTCATTGGAGGGGGAGGCCCTGGGCGTCGTCGGCCACCTGAAATTGTCAGACGACGTCTACCAGAATGCTCGGGACCTCCTCGCCGGGAGGTACGCAAACGTCCGGCGGATTGCGGACGACCACGTTCGGTAGCTGCTGAACCTCCCGCTGCTTAAGGACCGGACCAGACTACGTACGGACATCGTAAATCCAGTCGTGGTGGCTTGCAACTCATTGAGGCGGCTGGATTTACCGGTGGACGAATGGTCCTTCTTGTTGCTCCACATTGTGCTGTCCCGCCTGCCTCTCGATCTTCGGCTCCATTTTGAGGAGAGGTACGGAGGGGACGGCGTCTCCTATATTCCGTCCTTCAGGGACCTGCTGCGGTTCTTGGAGGAGCAGTGCCGGCAAATGGAGTACGCAGCGGGCGCCGTCGAGGACCTATGAGTTGCCAACCAAGCCGTGCCCAGGGAGAGGCGGAATCCGACGGCCAAGGCGTCGGACCAACCCCCCTGAGGCGCCCTCCCGCGGGAGGGCGCTGCCCCCTACCCTCTTATAGCGGCCTAGCAGCCCGGGAGGCGCCCCCCTGCTCCTATTGTCGAGCATCCGATCACCGGGCGACGTCGTGCCCTAAGTTGCTGCTTAAACGGGGCCCCGGTGAGGCGAACCATCGCCAGGGAGCGCCGCTGGTGCTACTCGTGCCTGGAAAGGCATCTACAATGAGACTGCCCGCACCAGCGGCCCTGCACGCACGGCCAGGGCAATTACCATGCCGTTTTGTGCCTGGATGCGAACGGCACTTCCTCTCGGAGCTCTGCCGGGCCCTCGACTCCCACGGGCGGAGGCGCTCAGCCGCGCCCCCTGGCAGGCGACGCTCGGCGCTCGCCTACCACTCCTCAACCACGTTCACTCGTCTTTGAGGGCTGTAATCGACATTACGGACGTCTACGCTTGGTCGGACAGTGAGATAGTACTTTGTTGGCTCAGAGCTTCACCTCACAATCTTGAGGTCTTTGTGGCGAACCGCGTGTCTCAAATCCAGAGTTCTGAGACTTCTCTAAACTGGAGACATGTTCCAGGGCAGTTGAATCCCGCAGACTGCGCTTCTCGCGGCTGTGAAGCCCCGTCGTTGGTTAACCACCCGCTGTGGTGGGGTCCCAGTTGGTTGACTGAGTCTCAGTCATTCTGGCCCCAGGGTAATTACTCCGAACCGATTGAATTGCCTGGCCTACGAGCCCGAGTAGGAGTGGGCAAGGATAAGCCCACTCGGGATCTCTCTCTTCTAGAACGGTACAGCTCTCTTGATAAGCTCTTAGGAGTGACTGCTTGGTTGCACCGATTTGTCCGCAATTCGAGAGACCCGTCCAACCGAATCTCTGATTTCGTTTTGTCCCCTAGCGAGCGTCGTGAAGCTTTCATGCATTGGACCCGTATGGTCCAAGCGGAGCATTTTGAGCCCGTGATTGAAAACTTGAAGCGGGGCTCCGTTGTTAAGGGCGCTCTGGCCCGTCTGAACCTCTTCCTGGACGACGCTGGGATGATGCGCTTTGGCGGATGTTTGAAAAATTCTCAACTGCCGTACGGGTCTCGACACCCGTTACTGCTCCCCAAGGACGGCGCCTTTATCCGGTTGCTGGTAACCCACCATCATGTTAAGAACGCCCACGCTGGGTGTAACGCTCTTTCGGCTATTTTGCAGCGGGAGTTTTGGATTTTGGCTGGCAGACGCACCATTCGGAGCGTCATCTTTAAGTGCATGCCATGTTATTAACTGAAGGCCACCGCATCGCAGCCTATGATGGGTGACTTGCCACCTGACCGCGTCAGGGCCATCCGACCATTCGCTGGAGTCGGAACAGACCTTCCTCCTCAAGTCCTCTAACCTTCGAAACGCGCGTTCACATAAGTTCACATAATCTTTGCGTCTTCGTGTGCCTCTCCACTAAAGCTGTTCACTTAGAACTTGTAAGTGCCCTCAGCACGGAAGCCTTCTTGGCCACGCTTGGCCGCTTCGTATCGCGGCGCGGTTTGCCGGACCTGATCCGGTCTGATTGCGGAACGAATTATAAGGGCACGGATAGATATTTGAAAGAGGTCGTCGAATTTCTGTCCAGCAACAGGACTTATTTAGGTAATGCGATGTCCAAGAAGGGCATCCAGTGGAAATTCGACCCTCCGGCTTGCCCACACTGGGACGGTATTTTTGAGGCGGTGGTTAAGATTGCAAAAAAGCATCTCCGTCGCGTTATTGGCGAAACTATTTTGACATTTGAGGAGCTTGTCACTGTATTCTGTAAAATTGAGGCGGTACTCAACTCTCGGCCCCTCTCGTCCGATCCGAATGATTTGGAGGTTCTAAGCCCGGGCCACTTCCTGATTGGCCAGCCTCTTAACGCCCGTCCCGAGTACCCCTTCAGGGAAATAAACTCTTCGCGATTGAGCAGATTTAACCTGCTGCAACAGATGACTCATGACAATGGTCCGAAGAGCCGAGAGGGGCATCGACGGAAACCTGATATCCGTCCGGATGAGAGGTCAGCAGAAGGTCCAACAGGGGAGGTGTATGATCTTCCACATCTGGAATCCACGTAGGCGAAGTAAAGAAGTGTCAGACCATATGCCAAGGCAAAGTCATAAACAGATCTCCCCGCATGATCGGTTAAACATGAACCGAGCCATTCGGCGTGGTGGGCGTTAAAATCACCATGCCCCTCTCGGCTCTTCGGACCATTGTCTGATTCGAAGTGTGGTGCCACTCACGCTCCCCTCGCGGTTGCGTTCTGCAGGTTGCCGCCGTGTTTGGTATTACAGGTTGGCGGATTCTTGAGTCGACTCGACTCGACTCGACTCTTGATGACGGGGGGAACACACCGCCGACCATTCCACGGTGTGAGTGCATGCTGGATGTGCGCTTCTCACAGCGATCGGTCCGCAAAGCACTTCTCTCCCTGGACATCCACAAGTCGAATGGGCCTGACGGAATCCCCCCAATTGTGCTGAGGACGTGCTCACGACCGCTCAGACTCATCCAACTACAGGCCTATTGCCATCACCCCCTTGTTCTCCAAAATAATGGAATCCGTTATAAACTGCCACCTCATGCGGTACCTTGAGTATCACCAGCTGATTAGTAACCGCCAATACGGTTTTCGTCGGGGTCGATCAGCTGGTGATTTTCTGGTCTACTTGACTCATAGATGGGCGGAGACAGTAGAGTCCAAGGGGGAGGCATTGGCCGTTAGTTTGGACATTGCGAAGGCCTTCAATCGGGTTTGGCACAAAGAGCTTCTTTCGAAGCTCCCTTCCTATGGGCTTCCTGAGAAATTGTGCAATTGGATCACCAGCTTTCTTCACCAAAGCCGTTGTAGAGCATCAAGGTCGTTGTAGATGGTGCATGCTCCGACTACAAGCCTATTAACGCTGGCTATTCCACAAGGCTGCGTGCTATCACCAACGCTGTTTCTTCTGCAAATCAATGATATGTTGCAAACCGGTAAGATTCATTGCTATGCGGATGACAGCACTGGTGATGCTCTATACACCGGCCGTGTCAATATTTCTCGGGAAAACGTCGCCGAGTACCGGAACAAACTTGTGTCTGAAGTCGAGTTTTTGCTGAACAAAGTCTCGGATTGGGGGCGACTAAATGTAGTCCAGTTTAATCCTCAGAAGACACAACTTTGCGCGTTTATCGCTAAAAAGAACCCCTTTGTCGTATCTCCTCAGTTTCAAGGCACACCCCTTGTTGCCTCAGCCAATATCGGAATCCTCGGCGTCGACATATCGAGTGACGTGCAGTTTCGTGGTCACTTGGAAGAGAAGGCCAAATTAGCCTCTAAAAAGCTTGACGTGCTCAGCAGAGCGGGACAGTATCTCATGCCGGCACAACGCCTGCATCTTTACAAGGCGCAGTTTCGGCCTCACATGGAATATGGTTCCACTCTCTGGGCTGGGGCTCCCCAGTGCCAGCTACTTCTACTTGACCGCATCCAGCGCAGAGCGGCTCGAATCGTGGATGACCGAGTCCTTTCCGATCGGCTCGATTCTTTGGCGCTGCGAAGAGATGTTGCATCTCTATGCATTTTCTTTCGCATTTACCACGGGGAGTGCTCTGAGAAATTGTTCGGATTAAGAAGTTTTCTTCCTCGCACAACTTCCTTGTGGAGTCGATTACCACCAGCGATTTTTCCGGACCGATACGACTTAGGGACCTTCAAGAAAAGAGCCTACTCCTTTTTAAAAGGCCGACAACGCATCTGCAATTCCCCTGGTTCCCCTGGTGTTGCGGTTGTTCGTGGGCGGCGGTAGTCACTTACCATCAGGTGAGCCACATGCTCGTTTGCCCCCTCTCCTATAAAAAAAATTGTTTTCCACAATACTTATATTGTGGAAAAGTATATTATAAGTGGTTGGTAGCACTGTTACTAATGTACTCAGTCGCCATCTTTCTTTTAGTTTGATCGGTTGCTATCTGTGTGCTCTTTTGCTTTTTAATAATTTAATCTTAGTTTTAAAAATGCCGAAAGTGGTAAAAAGTGCTAAAAGGCAAACTATTCTTCAAGCTTACGCATTTTGTGAAAAAGAAAAGGCTGAAAACAAGCTGATTGTTCCATTGCAACAAGTTCGTGCAAGAGTTGCCGCCATGACCCGTATGTTTATAGGGTGACCAGTTACAATGGTTTAGACTAACCTTTACAGTACCGCATGGTAGTGGGTCATATTTTAAATATGTTTATCTATTTCCCTAGATGATACTAAAATATTTGTATGTAAGTAAGTAAGTATATTATTTATATTTTAGTAACGTCGCTTACGTTACTAAAATATTAAAATTTTATAAAGTAGTAATATAAAATTGAATTTGTTTAATGATTACAGATGTATCCGAATCTACTGTAACCCGAATTTTAAGACAAGAAAGAGAGACCAATTCAGTTTCAAATTTGGGTGTGACTGGTCCGTCAAAAGTAAAAACACCTGGAAAAAAGCGACCAAATCGTGATAAGAAGACCAAGATCGATGACTTCGATGTGTGCAATTCGACAAAAAATTATGTCATTTATAAAATTACGCTGTACGAAAAGAAATCCTACGTTAAACAAATTACTTATCGAAATGCGAGATGAAATAAGTTTTGAAGGTGGGCGTACTACACTATGGAAAACATTAAAATGACTCGGATATAAATATAAAAAGTGTCAATCCAAACAAAGAATGTTAATGGAGCGAACAGATATAGATGCCTGGCGATTTAATTATTTGAATGAAATCAAAACATATCGAGAAGAGGAGTAGACTATTGTATATTTAGACGAAACATTTATTCATTCCTCATATGGGATGCAAAAATGTTGTCAGTCAAAGTCTTCAGAAGGTGTATTGGTCAGAGATTCTGGTACGGGTATTGCTTTATGGTTTAACATTACTTGTGAAAGAGGCGTACTCTGTCTTTCTATTTGTTGTTTAAATCATTACTTATGCAAAAAAGAAGATTTTGCGTAAATAATAGTCAGTACTGATTTCTTAAAAATCCGTTTTGTTTTGAATCCGTTTTGTACATACGTGGTAGAGCCATGCTGCAGCTATATTAGTAATATAGTTGTAGCACGAATGGGTCGGCTCGACTGGGGAAGGACCACACTCTCACAGAATACCAGCGTGAAATAGCAGCTTTATGTTGCTGTGTTTCCTATGGTGAGTGTAGAGAACCGGAGACCCTTTTTACTGAAAATAAGGCATTCCATCTTAGTCCTCAGGTGCGACAACACATCTGCATTTTGATTCTTAATTGAAGATAAATATAGATATTTATGGACCGCAGCATTCACTTACCATCAGGTGGACTGTGTGGTTGTTTGTCACCCTTTTTCTATAAAAAAAAAACTACAAATTGGCATCCCGACTGTTCGCTTTAAAAGAGTATGCCGCTACTAGTAAACATCAAAAAAATATGAGTGGATTCAGCAGGTGATAGAATATTCTCTAAAATAAATTTAATTAAGAAAACACAAAACATAATTAAATATAAACAAATATGTAGTCTATCGTCTTGCACCATAAACAAGGCATTGGTGAGCATGGCGATTGCATTGCATTCAAACCAGCAAAAGATATGTTTAATTTTAATTTAATAAAAATATAGCATATAAATGTGTATTTTACTTTTCTTAGTTTAATACAATTATACAATGGTAAATAAAGTTGGCAGTATTTAGGCATTTTTCACTACAGACTTTGGCAGGATTTGGCAAGTTTTTAACCAAACTAAGGCAGGATCTGTATTTTAAAGATGGTCACACTGGTTCCCGGCCACATCCACAGACTGGAGTTTTGGCGGGAAATTGACCGGCGGCCGTTTGCTGCTCCTGTATTATAGTTTAAATAATAGTTTGAAGTGGATTTTGATATGTAAAAGTGGTGCGATTTTATGTATTAACTGTCTACGCATGTGAACTATTAGTGAAAACGGTGAAACAAGTGCTCTGATGGTGATGGATTCTCAAGATAAGCTGTTTGTCTGCATAGGCGCCTTTAGATACCATCGCCAACTGTCAGCTGTCTGCTGGCTCAAGTTGCCGTCAAAATCTTCCAAGGGCTGCACAATGTGACGCATCAACATATTGTGAAGCAGTGAACTATGAAAGATAATTATACATTTGGGAAATTATAATAAACCGAATAAAAATACTCAAGACTTGGCCTAAAGGTCTAGATACCAGGCCATAAACTCCAAAAAAAAAACATCCACAGACTAATATGATTTCCCGACTTCCCGCCAATTCAATTTAAATTTTGACACTTGCACAACTAACATCACAATCATCGCATTATCATTTTTTATTGTTGTTGTATTGTTTGATATTTAAATTTTTCATTTCTCTATCCCAGAGTACTCTTTCTCAATGTGAACATTGTAAATTATATCTGTGATGTAATTTTCCAACTAGTTTTGTTCGTTTCGTACATTTTTAGTAAACTTATCTGTGTTTGGTCTTGTTCTCGTTTCTCAGTACCGACTAATATTTATATTGTTTTTCTGTTTGTACAGCACAAAGTGCTGCTATTTGTGCTGTGCTACGCTCACGGCAGCAACAAATTCAAATACCTAAGAAGCAATCAGTTTTCGTTTCAGTTTGTCTACCAATTGTCATTTCTGTATCTAAATTTCAAAATGTGGAATGGTAATTAAGTATTATTCTACATAGTTTTGCGTCATTTAATAAATAAAGCAATCAGTAGTATAGTATTTTTTTAATATTATGTTACATAATACCCACTTGTTTGTTTTTACAGATCAATCAGTTGTAGGTGGTGGCTTTTTTAATTCAACCAATCAATTTGGAAATGCTAATACTCCTAATCAAGCCCAAAAAACGGTATGAAAATTTTCCGGATGCTTAAAAGTGTTTACTTAAAACTGTTACAACTTTTCGATGCCACTACATTACTTAGTCCTGAAAAATTGAGTTTCGTCACTTATTACTGCCAAACAGAATTTATTGCAAAGCAATGCACCATGTAAATATATTTATTTACTTTTTTATATTACTTTTAGGGTCGAAGAACTTCACGTACTGCACCAATTGTTATCAGACAGGCCTTACATTCTGGAGATGGTGATATCACAATTTGGGGAACTGAAATTATGATAGTATCTATTGTTGCCAGAGTGAGAAATGTCCGCATACAGAGTACAAAAATTACATACACAATTCAAGATATTACAGGGAGGATGCGAGCAGTGTTTTGGTTGGATCAAGAAGCTATGGAGGAAGATGTAAGATTTTTAATATATTTTGTTTTTTAATATATGTAGTTATAAAATTTTTAAAATTCATTCATTCTATTTGTCCAATGTTGGTCTGGGACTTAGAGGTTCCATGTCTATATAGCACTTCCAATAAAATGATAAATGTGCCAACTGTGTTACATAGCTTAGCATGTTTTAAAAGGTGGTGGACTAGTCACCTATAACTTCTTTCAGCCTTAGTTCTTTTTTGGCTTAATGCAGTCCTCGTAGCTTGTTGTTTTTTGAACTCTGATAAACCTCTTAAAGATTACAGGTGTGATATTAATTATAAATGTATCTCACTATATTTCATGTTATCTTTTAATACATTGAAAAAGTAATTAAAAAAACTGATTATTGTAAATCTCTTAAGTGATAATAAGTTTAATATAAATTTACGTGGTAGAGCCATGCTACAGCTATATTTATTTATTTAGACTTACCAACTAAGTACATATGAAAACATTTCAGCTACATTTTGTTATAACAATATATATATATATATATATATATGTACTTAATTTATAAGTGAGTACAACACTTTGACATTAATGCAATTATTTTATTTAAAAACAAAACTGAAAATTGATGTGTGAGATTTAAGTTTTGTTAGAAGAAAAAACATAATTTTTTTATAGTAAAACCATAAAATAAGGTTATATTAAGCATCATCATCATTACAGCCCTTCACAAGTCCACTGCTGAACATAGGCCTCCCCCAAAAAATGCCACAAAGCACGGTCCTGAGCCACCTGCATCCATCGACTTCCTGCATGTCTTACCAGGTCGTCACTCCATCTCGTGGGGGGACGCCCTACACTTCGCCTACCGGTACGAGGCTGCCACTTGAGAACCTTTCTTCCCCATCGGTTGTCGGTTCTTCGAGCTATATGGCCGGCCCACTGCCACTTCAGCTCACCAATCCGTTGGGCTATGTCGGTTACTCTGGTTCTACTGCGGATATCCTCATTTCTAAGTTTATCACGCAGAGAAACTCCGAGCATAGCCCTCTCCATAGCTCGCTGAGCGACCTTGAGCTTCCTCATACGGCCAGCAGTGAAGGACCACGTCTCAGTTCCATAAGTCATCACTGGCAACACGCACTGGTTGTACAATTTCGTTTTCAGGTTTTGAGGTATGTCTGACGAGAAGATGTGTCGTAGCTTCCCGAACGCTGCCCAGCCGAGTTGAATCCGTCGATTGACCTCTCGGTCGAAGTTGGACTTACCTAGTCGGACTATTTGTCCGACTAGGTAAGTCCAACTAAAGGTAAACATACTCGTCAACAACTTCGAGCTTAGTGCTCCCAACAACTACCGGCATAGGTGTGACATGGACATTGAACATGATCTTTGTTTTGTCCATGTTCATCTTAAGACCTATCCGTTGGGAAACACTATCGAGGTCATTGAGCATAGTGCTTAGGTCCTCCAGCGATTCTGCCATAAGGACTATATCGTCGGCAAATCGAAGGTGAGTGATGTACTCGCCATTGATGTTGATACCGTATCCTTTCCAGTCCAGAAGCTTGAAAACGTCTTCCAATGCAGCGGTGAAGAGTTTCGGGGATATGACGTCACCCTGTCTTACACCTCTCTGCAATTGGATAGGTTTCGTACTCTGGTTCTGTACTTGGATAGCCATCGTAGCCCTACTGTACAAGCACTTCAACACTTCGATATACCGATAGTCAACTTGGCACCGCTGAAGGGACTGCAGCACCGCCCAAATTTCGACGGAATCAAAGGCTTTCTCATAGTCCACATACGCCAGACATAGTGGCAAATTGTACTCTTCGGACTTCTGTACAATTTGCCGAAGGGTATGTATGTGGTCTATGGTGCTAAAGCCCTTTCGGAAACCGGCTTGTTCGGGAGGCTGGAAATCGTCAAGTCTGCGCGCGAGACGATTCGTAATGACTCTCGAAAACAGCAGGTAGACGCGGCTCAGAAGGGAAATCGGTCTGTAGTTCTTCAAGAGAGCGTTGTCACCTTTCTTGAAGAACAAGACCACCGCACTTCTGCTCCACGCCTCCGGTGTAATGCCACCATGGAGGACGGAATTAAAGAGCTTCTGAAGGACTTCAAGTACCGGTTTTCCACCCGCTTTCAGAAGCTCCGCTGTATATTTAGCATAGTTAATTAATTTTTATTACCATTTAGAATGAATATTTATATCAACTTACACAATATGCTTTTCAACATTCACTTGAAATTGACTAACACTGTCTGAAAAAATATCTACATCTATGTTTGCCTTTTTAAAAAGTTGATTATATTTGGATACAACAAGTGATATGGGGCTATTCTTTCCATTATTGTTCCTTCTTCTTGGCACAAATAATGGGGCAGACTTGTGCAGCCGAGTTGATAGTCTGGGGATTCTTATTCCAACTAGGGAATGTAATTCAGGGCAGTCATTACAAAGCTTTAAAAAAAACCAGTCTGAGTTTGTCTGCATGCTGATGTAAGGGTTTTAGGGAGATATAATTGAGTCTTTCCTCATAACCCCTTATAGTATGATGCACGCCAGCAACGTATGAGAGTCTGTGAACGAACTTCTTTTGAATATTTTCCAATTGTTGAATATTATTTTGACAAGTGGGATACCTACATTACAACAATATTCTATATTACAGTGAACCAATGAAAAATAAATAGTCTTTAATGTAATTGCAGTTTCACAGTATAAATGAAATCATCCTCCAGGCTTTTATTTACAACTGCATCAATATGCTCTCCGAAATTCATTTTTGAATCAATAAGGACACCCAGATTAGGAACCACGTCGACCTTTTTAAGTGGTTGTTTTGCAATGTTATAGCTAGTTTGAAATTTATTGTGTTTTTGGAAGAATTTGATATTTAGCTCCATTCTATTATGTTGGCACCAATCATAAAATTTGTTGGTATATTATGGTTGTAGGATGAATGGGTCAGCTCGACTGGAGCAGGACCACACTCTCGCACAATACCAGCGTAAAATAGGTAACTGTAGGTAACTGGAGAGCCTATTTACTGGAAACAGAGCATTCCATCTTAGTCATCAGGTGTAACAATACATCTGCATTTCGTTTCTTAGTTGAAGATAGTCTAGGGGCCATAGCATCCACGGAAGTCTAGGGGCCATAGCATCCACTTACCATTAGGTGGACTGTGTGCTTATTTGTCACCTATACTATAAAAAAATTATTATCATTGATTACCATTAGTAATCAATTTAAACTCTAGCATCATTCGTTATAAAGGTCCAAATTATGACATTTAAAAAGAATTATCAAAAACTTTGCAGTTTATATATAAATTGTAGTGTTAAGGTAGCTTCACATGAACTGAAACAATTTAATCAAACCCATTCTACAGTTATGATTATTATTTGTGATTCATAAATATTACATGACAATTCTAGAGGCAACCTTAGCATCAATTAGTATGACCTTCAAAGTGAGCTGTGGGTGCACTCCCTATTTTCTCAAACTAATGGGACTAGCAATGCAGTGGACGATATGAATGACAAGCTCGTGGAAACTGTGCATGCGGTCGGAGCTAAGTTTTGCAAGACCCGCTGCAGAAGAACACAAAACCTCTCCGATCATACTCTTAATCTCATGGCTGTTAAACGGGATATGAAGCTGCAGTCTTCAGTAGATTTGACAGCATACAGGCAACTGAATAGACTGATCTCCAAATGCATGAGGCGAGCCTTACGCAACTTTAATACTGCTCGTATTGAAGAAGCGATCGAGCGGAACCAAGGCTCCAAAGTCTTTGCCAGAGATCTGTCTGCCAGAAAGAGCCAACTGTCGAAGCTGAAGACCGACCGTGGCAGCGTCGTTTCCGGGACACCTGAGATTTTGAGTGAGATTGAGATTCTATAGGCAGCTGTACACATCATCGTTGGAGCCACACGTAAGTGTGAGAAACGATCCAAGAGCGAGTCTTATCCGACACTATACCGAAGGTATTCCAGACTTCAGTCTGAGGGAGATTAGAATGGCTTTCCAGCACCTTAAACACTGCAAGGCCTCTAGGCGAGGATGGAATTACAGCGGAGCTTCTGAAAGCGGGAGCAAAACCTACTTACTTCAAGTCCTTCAGAAGCTCTTTAATTCCGTCCTTCATGGTGGCATTACACTGGAGGCGTGGAGCAGAAGTGTTGTGATCTTGTTCTACAAAGATGACAACGCTGTCTTGAAGAACTACAGACCGATTTCCCTTCTGAGCCGCGACTACGTACTGTTTTCAAGTGTCATTACGAATCGTCTCGCGAGCAGACTTGACGACTTCCAGCCTCCCGAACAAGCCGGTTTCCGAAAAGGCTTTAGCACCATAGACCACATACATACCCTTCGGCAAATTGTACAGAAGTCCGAGGGGTACTATTTGACACTATGTCTGGCGTATGTGGACTATGAGAAAGCCTTTGATTCCATAGAAATTTGGTCAGTGCTAAAGTCCCTTCAGCGATGCCAAGTTGACTGTCGGTATATCGAAGTGCTGAAGTGCTTGTACAGTAGGGCTACAATGGCTATCCAAGTATAGAACCAGAGTCTACGAAACCCATACAACTGCAGAGAGATGTAAGACAGGGTGACGTTATATCCCCGAAACTCTTCACCGCTGCATTGGAAGACATTTTCAAGCTTCTGGACTGGAAAGGATACGGTATTAACATCAATGGCGAGTACATCACTCACCTTCGATTTGCCGACGATATAGTGTGATATAGTCCTTATGGCAGAATTGCTGGAGGACCTAAGCACTATATGCTCAATGACCTCAATAGTGTTTCCCAACGGATAGGTCTTAAGATAAACATGGACAAAACAAAGATCATGTTTAATGTCCACGTCACACCTATGCCGGTAGTTGTTGGGAGCACTAAGCTCGAAGTTGTGGACGAGTATGTTTACCTGGGACAAATAGTCCGACTAGGTAAGTCCAACTTCGATGGAGAGGTCAATCGACAGATTCAACTCGGTTGGGCAGCGTTAGGTAAATTATGGCACGTCTCCTCGTCAGGTATACCTCAAAACTTGAAAACGAGACCGTACAATCGGTGCGTGTTGCCAGTGATGACCTATGGAACTGAAACGTGGTCCTTCACTGCTGGCCGAATGAGGAAGCTCAAGGTCGCTCAGCGAGCTATGGAGAGGGCTATGCTCGGAGCTTCTCTGCGTGATAAACTTAGAAATGAGGACATCCGCAGTAGAACCAGAGTGACCGACATAGCCCAACGGATTAGTAAGCTGAAGTGGCAATAGGACGGCCATATAGCTCGAAGAACCGACAACCGATGTGGAAAAAAGGTTCTCGATTGGCGGCCTTGTACCGGCGGACGAAGTGTAGGGCGTCCCCCCTACTAGATGGAGTGACGAGTTGGTAAGATATGCAGGAAGTCGATGGATGCAGGTGGCTCAGGACCATGCTTTGTGGCATTCCTTGGGGGAGGCCTATGTTCAGCAGTGGACTTGTGAAGGGCTGTAATGATGATGAATGGGACTAGTCTAATGGGATGGCAATGCAACACTAGAAAGAGATCAGGTGTAGGATCTACGGTTTTGCATGCTTTATTCCAAATATGCTATTTTTATAAAACATTGACATATCACATTATTATCTATAATGTTCAGTACCTATACATTTTATTTTCATTCATTACAGCATAGCTGAACATATGCCTCTCCCATAGTTTCATTCATCATAAGGATGATATTTGCTATAGGTGTCATGCTTCACAGGCGGTTTGGCATTCGCATTATTATTATTTTGAGTTGTCTTTGTACTCTGGATGGGGAAGATGAATTCTCAGCACAAATTGTCATATTAGAACGGGAAACTAATCTGCCCTGAACAGCCACCATCCATTTCTCTTTTAGTTCTGAATTGTTGGGAAGATTGTAAAAGATAAAGATTTCCCATTAAACATATTTAAAATATGTAATGTAATTAATAGTCATTGATATTTTTAGGGGCTGGAATGTAATACGTACTTAAATACCAATCAAAAGCAGATTTTCCCAAGTTATTTGGGCCCTTTTCATAGTATATTGTCTTATATCAGCTGTCATATCCACACTCCTTTTTTACGCATGTCATTCCTAGTTCCTAACACAGTCCATCCTTCTTTTGGAGCCTTCACTCTGTTCTTGTATCCATCCACTTTTATATCATAATTAAAGCAGATACAAAAACCTTGTTGTACAAACATCACTAGTGTTTTTTTTTTTCATTGATATAGTGATATATTGTTTCAGCAAAAGATAAGCTTATACTTACAAGTAAAAACTAAGCTTAAGCTATATTTACAAGTAAAATGTAATACTTGTTGACGTAAATTTTAGTTAGACACTATCTATACTAAATAATTAGTATTTTAAAATGTTTTCATATAGCTGCAGATTATTTTATACTTATAAATTATGAAGTTTTTTATAATCAAATTAATCCGTACCTTTGTTATCCTTTTTAGGATAAATCCACTCCAAAAGTGCAAGTGAATGATTATATTCAGATTTATGGAAATGTAAAAACTAATAAAGGCAAGAAAGTGTTGATGGCATTTAAAATTATGCCTGTAACTGATGTAAATGCTATTACGTTCCATTATTTACAGTGCATAAATAATAAACTGAAAATGGAAGCAGATTCTAAGAAGGTACCATTATTATGTAATTATTTTAAAAAATGTAGTATTATGATGTTTTGAGTTCTTAAAAATATAAACAAATCTTAAAAATTTTAGGAAAAGGTGAATATTAATCCTACATCATCAGCAACACTACCAGCTAACTCAATGGTTGGTATGAATGATAACACTTCAATTAATGGATTAAATCCACGTCAAATGATGGTGTTCAATTTGATTCGTGCTTCAACTCTTGAACAAGGCATAAGTAAACAAGATATGTATGCTACACTAAAGGACCGCATGTCACAAATGGAATTTGAGTAAGTAATTTTATGCAATTATTAACTAGGTGGATACTTAAAAAAAAGATTATTAAATTAGGCCTCTGTCACCTGCATGATGTAAATACCCACAATCACATGGTCTCTCAGGTTACATACACAGTCTGGACTTGCTCATTGTAGGCGAGCAACGTACTATACCTATAGAGAATTTCAAAGTTTATAACATTGTTTATGTACATAGATTTTTTTGTAAATAAGTATTTACAAATAAATCTAAATAGTTTTTGTTTATTGTTAAGCATATATAGTTACAGGACAAAATAGTATAAGTTTTAATGTATAATATATTTATATTAAAGAAAATACATTCAGTATTTACTTATATTTTTCAATCTTTTCCATTCTTAAATTTTATAACAATTATAATAGAGGTGGTTAAAATACATAATATATTATATTAAAGTATCAGTTGTAAATTAAATATATAATTATAAGGTACTATATGTGCAGTATTTTTTACTCTTTCTTGAAAGTTACCTAGTAACTACAGAAATCATCCGTGACGTAGGAAGGGCAAACAAAGCCGTACGGAAATTATATTCTGCAGCAGCAACCAGCTGGGTTACGGCTAGTTAATAATAAATGTGCAGGCTATTATAACATTGGCAAGTTGTCAACATCAAAGAAGTGCAGCTTCTGTTCATAATACTATTATTTATTGTGATTAAAAATACAATTGTTTTTTCTGCAGAAATATATTGGAGTGGATGTGTGGTGAAGGACACATATATTCAACAATTGATGAAGAACATTTCCGTGCTACTGATGCTTTTTAATGTAAATTTTAAATTAAGAAATATCTATAGATACTTTTTTAATAAAACATTGAAAGTATATATAAAGCCTTTTATTTTCACTTATACATAAAAAATGCTTAGATTTAAGATAATTTATAAAAATAGCTTTTAATATTCTGACTTTATAAAAATTACCCAACATAAAAAAATAGAAAATAAATATAATAAAAAATAATAGAATTTATACCGGTAAGCACTGTAGCCTTCACTGGATAGTGACAACCTAGTATACAGGAAGATGATAGAGTGGTTCAGGACCATGCTTTATGGTATTGGGGGAGGCCTGATTTGTTATGGGCTGTAATGATTTTAACTTTTCTGTAACTGTAATAGTATAAAACTTATGATATAAAATGTGATAAAACATATGTGATCAGATCTACTGTTTACTTAAGTTATAATTAATTTGTCTTCATAATTCCATATCAGGCTATTGCTAAATTCTTTTGCCGTGTAGTGGCGGTCAAGAATATCCACTACCCCAAATCCTCCCGTGGGTGTCGTAAAAGGCGACAAAGGGATACAGGCAGGAGATGGGCAGCAGCATCTTCCTGATAATAGCCAAAATTACAATAAAAAAACTGCGGTTGCCAACCCGCTCGCCAAGCGTGGCAACTATCCCCCCAATGAATAAAGCAACAAACAGACGGCCCCCAGTCCCCGGCGGCCCCGCTATTCCTGGCTACGGTGGCGACCATGGTAACGGCGGGGCAGGGGGTGCTAAGAATCTCCGGTGGAGGTTCGGTTGCCACCTTAGACGACTCGACCTGGCAACGTACAACACACGCACCCTGAGGACTGACGAGAAGATCGCGGAGCTGGAAGAAGAGATAGACAAGTTGCGCTGGCATATTATAGGATTATCCGAAGTCCGAAGAGAGGGGGAGGACACGGTAATCCTCGAATCCGGTAACTTGCTCTATCACCGGGAGGGCGACCATCTGTCCCAAGGAGGTGTCGGATTTATCGTCCACAAGTCTCTCGTTAACAACGTTGTAAAGATCGGGAGTGTGTCGACGAGGGTTGCGTACCTTATACTCAGAATCACCAAACGGTATTCGCTGAAGGTCATACAGGTTTACGCACCAACCTCGGCACACCCCGATGAGGAGGTGGAGGAAATGTATGAGGATATCTCTAGAGCCATGCATTCCTCCAAAACCCAATATACGGTGTTAATGGGAGACTTCAATGCAAAACTAGGCACAAGAGAGAACGGCGAGCTGAAAGTAGGGAAATTTGGAATAGGGCAACGGAACCCAAGGGGCCAGCAGCTGGCCGACTTCATGGAGAAAGAGGGACTCTTTATGATGAACTCTTTCTTCCAGAAGCGGCCCCACAGGAAGTGGACCTGGTCGAGCCCCGACGGTTCGACAAAAAATGAGATTGACTTCATTATGACGACCAGACGTCAACTGTTCAGTGATGTCTCCGTGATCGCGAGGGTGAAAACTAGTAGCGATCACCGAATGGTTAGAGGCACACTGAACCTAAACGTTAAGTTGGAGAGGTCTCGTCTAATGAAGTCAACGCTCCGTCCCCCTCGTGCTCTGTTCCAAAGTCCCGAAACCTTTCAGCTCGAGTTACAAAACCGTTTTCAGTGCCTGGAAGACTGCAATGAATTGGACGATATGAATGACAAGCCCGTGGAAACTGTCCATGCGGTCGGAGCTAAGTTCTGCAAGACCCGCCGCAGAAGAACACAAAAACTCTCCGATTACACTCTTAATCTCATGGCTGTTAGACGGGAGATGAAACTACATTCTTCAACAGACTTGACAGCATACAGGCATCTGAAGACAGATCTCTAAATGCATGCGGCGGGACTTACGCAACTTCAATACAGCTCGTATTGAAGAAGCGATCGAGCGGAACCAAGGCTCCAAAGTCTTTGCCAGAGATCTGTCTGCCAGAAAGAGCCAACTGTCAAAGCTGAAGACAGAATGTGGCAGCATCGTTTCCGGGACAGCTGAGATTTTGAGTGAGATTGAGAGGTTCTATGGGCAGCTGTACACATCATCGTTGGAGCCACACGCAAGTGTGAGTAACGATCCAAGAGCGAGTCTCATCCGACACTATTCCGAAGATATCCCGGACGTCAGTCTGAGCGAGATTAGAATGGCTCTCCAGCACCTTAAAAACGGTAAGGCCCCAGGCAAGGATGGAATTACAGCGGAGCTTCTGAAAGCGGGTGGAAGACCGGTACTTGAAGTCCTTCAGAAGCTCTTTAATTCCGTTCTCCATGGTGGCATTACACCGGAGGCGTGGAGCAAAAGTGCGGTGGTCTTGTTCTTCAAGAAAGATGACAATGCTCTCTTGAAGAACTATAGACCGATTTCCCTTCTGAGCCGCGTCTACGTGCTGTTTTCGAGAGTCATTACGTACATCACTCACCTTCGCTTTGCCGACGATATAGTCCTTATTGCAGAATCGCTGGAGGACCTAAGCACTATGCTCAATGACCTCAATAGTGTTTCCCAACGGATAGGTCTTAAGATGAACATGGACAAAACCAAGATCATGTTTAATGTCCATGTCACACCTATGCCGGTAGTTGTTGTCACTGCTGGCCGTATGAGGAAGCTCAAGGTCGCTCAGTGAGCTATGGAGAGGGCTATGCTCGGAGTTTCTCTGCGTGATAAACTTAGGAATGAGGATATCCGCAGTAGAACCAGAGTAACCGACATAGCTCAACGGATTAGTAAGCTGAAGTGGCAGTGGGCCGGCCATATAGCTCGAAGAACCGACAATCGATGGGGAAGAAAGGTTCTCTAGTGGCAGCCTCGTACTGGTAGGCGAAGTGTAGGGCGTCCCCCCACGAGATGGAGTGACGACCTGGTAAGCAGGAAGTCAATGGATGCAGGTGGCTCAGGACCGTGCTTTGTGGCATTCTTTGGGGGAGGCCTATGTTCAGCAGTGGACTTGTGAAGGGCTGTAATGATAATGAAATTCTTTTAAGTTATTCAATTTCCACAGAATCAAATATGGTGATGATTTTTTTTTAAGTTGAAACCACAATGAAATTGATATTCTTTAAACTTATCATGAATATCATAAACAGATGTTGCAATAACTGAATATAAGTAAGTTTCAAAACTATTTTAGTATTTAATTTGTATTAACAATAAATAAGTAGACTACATGCCTACATTCTTGTTCATATAGGTACTCATATGTTTATCTAGCTATATTTATGGATAGATTACCTGATAATGTACAAAATTCAGTAACAACTCATGAAATTGGAACAAAATTTGATAAAATATAGAGAAATTTCTATTTGCATCCCATCTCATCTTAACCATTTAAAACTTATCTTATGAAATTGACTCCTTTAAGAAAAACAAAGGAATTTAAATGCATCTAATCTGGCTAAGGAAATTTGCTTTTAAAAGAACTAAAAAGTGATGAATATTATAATTCATCCCGTACTGCTTTGTTTCGCACATTAGGATTCTTTCCAGGATATGTTTGGCTTTCTAATTGCACTTCTTTCAACTCATCCTGTTCTATGAGAAACTCTTTTGCAGTCCAAGCTTGTGACCCATCTTTAAACATGAATATAGCTCTGTCATCATCAATAAGGTATCTGAAAAAACAGGATAAAAATAACATTTATTTGCTAATCTATTATTTTTTACCCAAACGTAAGCTAAAAATAAATACATTATATTGATAATTAAGTTTGTCTGACCCAATTATAAATTGAAATATTTTTTTAGATCAATGTCTCTAGAACAAGTGGGAAACTTACCTTTCAGCTTGTATATGATTGCTCCAAAGACTTGCTTGCCATATCTTAGTAAGTTCTTCAGTCCTTGCTCGTGGGGGATTATTGGCTACTGAAACAAACATCATAAGGGTTTGCCCTTTCTTAGTTGCTTGAAGCACAGCTTCTGGATTGGACATATCCATTTTAGTCAGATCAATAGGGGGCGGTTTGCGAAGATGTTCAGGTAATTCATCTTCTGGAAGAGGTTCTTCATCTTCCTCCCATTGGTCAAAAAGACTAAAAAGATTAAAAGAAAGCTTGTAATAGCAATTTATTGAGTATCTACGTGGACGTTTCAATAAAAATATTTACCGTTCCATGTCGGCATCACTGAAGTCTCGAATATCTTTCTTTGCCCATGAAGGTTTTTCGTTGTCCTTAAATTTTTTTGCTAAAGTATAATACATGCAAAATAAGAAAATATAAAATAGTAACTTTGACATTTTACAATTGGATTTTGAAATTTGGTGTTCGTGCTTTTCTCTTTTCTTCGCTAAGCTTGTTTCTATTCGTATCGTTTTTTTCGTCGTCCAACCGTCAGTAGATAAAATTTTAGACCTTATCTTTATTCTTTACATCATTCAATTTCAATTGATGACGATATATCGGTATTTATCACACGATATATATCCATACTGTTTAAAAATATGGATTCGATATATATCGATATATTTTTTCCCTTTGCCCATCCCTACTTAGAGTGTAGAGTAAATATTTTTTTATAACAGGCTTTACGACTCTGGGTTCTAGCCGTTCTGAGCCTGAAGTAACAATGTATAATTATCCTTCATGGTTCACTGCTTCACAATATGTTGATGCAGTGCAGCCCTTGGGAGATTTTGACGGAAACTTGAGCCAGCAGACAGCTGACAGTTGGTGATGGTATCTAAAGGCGTGTAAGCAGACAGTCACCTCAGTTAAGTAAGTATCACATCACCATCAGAGCACTTGTGTCACCGTTGCCACTAATAGTCCACATGCGCAGAAACTTAATACACAAAATCGCACCACTTTTACATATCATTATACGTGGTAGAGCCATGCTGCAGCTACATTAGTAGTATACTTGTAGCACGAATGGGTCAGCTCGACCGGGAAGGACCACGCTCTCACAGAATACCAGCGTAAAATGGCAACTTGACACTGCTGTGTTTCGTATGGTGAGTGTAGAGAACCGGAGACCCATTTTATTGGAAAAGAGGCATTACATCTTAGTCCTCACAGGTGACAACGTATCTTGCATTTTGATTCTTTATTGAGAAGAAATGTGGGTGGATTGTGTGCTCGTCTGTCACCCTAACCTATAAGAAATGTCAAAATCCACTTCAAACCAATATTTAACTCTTTAATTCCCAGTGTTACCTGTAGGTGACAGATTTTTAACATTTTTTTTCTAAAATATGATAATCTTTTTTCCTATCTCACCATTATTACTACAAAGATAATTAGTCATTTAATTAATTGTTATTTTATTTCAACACTAACTAAACGTAATTTGTAAAATTCATTTAATTCATTCCCGCGTTTTTGGAGTTTTCTGAGTAAATGTGATCTTGCAATATAAGCTGAGATAAAAATGTCCACATTGTAAGTATTGTTATTTTTCTTACTGCACGTGATAAATAAATATATTAGCTGTAATATTAATGCAACTTCAAATAAAATATAATAATGTATACTATATCCATTATACTGCTCAAAATATGACGTGTCACCAGTAGGTGACTCTGGGCATTATTTATTATCACTACTATTGGTTTCTTTTAGATTACTTTGTAGTAGTGGATGGTATTTTGTAGCGTTTGTTTGTTTGTTTGTTTGCGTGTTGTTTACGTTTTACGGGTTAACGTTAGATGAGTTTGCTGAGGAGTTGCAAGTCGAGGAGGATCCAGGGAATATTATTTTATTTCCTCCTGATGATGGTATGGTAACTAACGAAGACAGTGGGGATGAAAACGAAGCAAATATTGTTTATCTTCTTAATTGTATGCTTCAGTCTCAAGTAGAATTACAGAGTAGACCTTCTGACATCAGAGAAAAATTGTGTAAATGACCAGGAAGTAGAAGAAAAAAGTCAAGGTTTCTACACCAAAGAAAAAATATAAAAAAAGAACTACTATAAAAAGGTGGTACACCAACACTCTTTTTACTACTTGTGGTAAAGAAGACTGTAATGTACAAGTTTTCATACTCTTATAAAAGGAAATACCAGCCCTCAAGATGCAGTCAGATATGGGACTAGGAGTTGCGGTTGTTCTAGAACTCCTATTCAGATTACCAAAAGAATTGGAACAGTAAAACTTTTAACTGGTTAAATGCCAAAGTATTTACGAGAACAGCTAAATAAATAGCATGACAACAGTATCACCACCATTGCATCTAACTGTCACGGAATGAGTTTTGTCACAAAAGTAGATCATATTAGAAATGTAAATAAAAAGCGATCGAAAATTACAGTGGTTTGCCCAGCTACGAGTATTATTACGATGTAACAAGAATATGGGTAGAGTAAACCATTTTGAATTCGCTGAAAAAAGTGGTGGTATCCTGTTTGCTTTTGGTATAGACACTGCTTGCCAAAATAACTGGACTGTGATTTTCGCAAAAACGTTGCTACTATCTACCTGGAAACATGATAAGCCTTCAACCCATGATTATACCTGTGGAGTTCCAGTCCAGATTAGAGTGCCTGGTTAGGTGAGGTCTGCAGGTATTGCCAATGACACTGTAGAAGTTGTCCGTTCGCAGCGGCGATGTGGATATTGTCATCAACGTACGCAAAAAATGTGCGCCAAGTACAATATTGTTTTGCATCTAAAGTTCTAGTATATGTTCCATGGTAATAAAACACTTCTTTTTTATATGGCAATAAACATTTCTTTTATAAAAACGGATGTTTTATCCCTACACAAAGAAAACTTTAACTTTATGAACTGTTTAAATAATGCCTAGTGACACCCCTATAAAAAGTAAGTGGGGGAGTTGCATTATTTTTATATTTCTTTTCTTGGTCTATACTAAATGTATCTGTGCCATGTAGTAACAGAAAGTATTATTTTTTTGATAAACATAGGCATGGGAATTGAAGAGTTAAACAATAATACAGGAGCAGCAATCCGCCACCGGTCAAGATCCCGCCAAAACTCCTTAGAGTAAAAACAAAGAGAATATAACCACTAAGTTTAAGTAAAAATAAAGGTACCACTACCACAGAGTACAATATTTATATATATCGTAGAGAGAATGAACTATAGAGGAGTCACTAAAATGTCAGGAAATGCGTGAGAGATACACACTTATCTATGTTACGTTAAGAGCGAGGGAGTCAAACAACTTTTTTTTTGTTTCTTTCACCGTATGCGATTTCCTTTGTTTGGTACAAGGCAAAGAGTATAGTAACTGTCCTATACAGGAAAAGAGAGCCCACTCGTGCGAAATCTGTCAACCAAACCCTATATGTAGTGATCGATATAGTCTGAATAAAACAAATATATAAATGATTCGTAGCCTTTATTTACTTTTATACGCAAAATTAATTGCTGTAATAAAGTCAGTCTTAACAATTGTTTAGTTTTTATCTTAAAAGTAATCAATAAATTGTATCTTGCGTTACCAACATCCAAATAAAACACGCAACTTTTCATTAAATCTAAATAGGTAATAAGATAAAGGTAAAAATTCTTTCCTACAGATGCCCTTTTATCAACAGTATATTAAGATATAAAAATATAGATTCTGATGTAGGCAGGAATATCGCTACGTTTAAAAACAAAAATTTAAATTAAGGGACAAAAAGTAACTTCAGAGACAAACTTGGTAACGCCTAAGACATAAAATCAAAAAACTTAAAAAATTTAATTACTTTTAAACATAATGACTTTGAAGTAAGTAACAATCATAAGTAAGGAACAAAATAATATCACATTTAGGATACTATGTTCCAAAACAAGGGTACTATGTTCCAAACAAACGGCTGTCGTCAACTGTTTTAGTGGTTTTATGTGATTCTTTGCTAAATTATTGACGTTTGAGTTACGTGACGTTTAAAGTTTTTTGTTTTAGACAGAGTTTATGTGAAATTATGGTGCGTTGTTGTGTGTTAGGTTGTAAAAACCGATCAGAACGAAAAATACCAAACATAACCTTTCATCAGTAAGTATGCTTATTTAAAGTAAAATTGCATATAGAATTTAACTTATGTAGTCTTATATCTTAATTAAAAGCTACAGCTATAAAAATGAATCGTAAATTGTAAATTGACCACCATTTTAGTTTAAATATGTACTATCCTCACCCCTTTCTGTCGCCAAGCGGTCATGCTACCAGTGTTATTTTTCAGTTTGAAGGAAGAGACAGTAGGTATAATTACATGTGTATATACTCGTATTTCATCTTCATTCTTTCTTAGAGATGACAATCCACAAGAATTTTCTTTTATTTGTACTTGGTTGCAGTAACTTTTTACCATGCGAACTCGTTTGTCAATTTAATCTCTATATATATAAATCAATTGCTGTCCGTTAGTCTCGTTAAAACACGAAAATGGCTCGAACGATTTTGATGAATTTTTTTGTGTGCGGTTGAGTGAGTCCCTGGATAATTTAGAAGAGAAACACAATTGGACCCGCTAGCCGGCGCTGTTGTCGAGATCCAGAAATCACCCGTGCGAAGCCGGGGCGGATCGCTAGTATTATACAAAAATAGTTTGTTTTTACATTGAGTATTTAATAATTGTCTCTTTACTCTCAGGTAAGAAGCAATAAATAATGTCGTCTCCGTCCAAACACCGTTTCAAAAAACAGAGATGGTACAAACGTCTCATGTATAAAAGGCTCCCGGTGACAAAATGGCTGCCCGATTATAATTCTAAAAAGGCTGTTGCTAACTTCATCGCTTTTCGTTTGTTCGTAAAAATTATAAATGTTTGCAATAATAAACATCAATCGTATGTAGGAAGGAAAAGACAAAACGCAAAATAAAGCGATTTAAAATATAATAAAAAATTCTTTTTATTTTTCAATTTAGTACATTAACCTCATAAATATATATATCTTAGGAAGTTAATGAACTACTATTAACCTCATAAGATATATCTTAGAATATGTATATGAAATGAATTACATATTTTTGAAACACTGTGTATTGATTCTACCTATAATTAGTAAACAGAATTTACTTTTCCCAAAAATCAAGAAAATAAAAATAGAGAATCATCGGCAACACTAACCTTAAACCAGGGATTGAAAACGGTTCCAAAATACCGGTATAGAACCGGTATTTAGGGGTTTCGATACCTATACCGGAACAGGAACCAGAACCTAAATTAGAACCTTAATTTTACCGGTTCCTTAGCAAAGCGAAAGCGAGTCCACGCTTGTTTGAGGTGCAGTCGGATGGACGGCGCGATGCGGCGCGCGGCGGAGTGTGAGGAGAGGGAAGTTTGTAAAATATCACATTTGTATTGGTGGATCTTCTGTTGCATATCAACGCAGCGTTGATATGCAGATTAGTCATTATCTACGGAACTACGGAATTTTAGGTTGCAATCTACAGAATTTTTATAAACTTAACAAGATTATTTTTATCAGG